GGGGGTTGATAGGGAGCAGATGGAGAACTGGCCGCAGGGAGGGATCGATGTGGTGATTTGAGGGTGTGTATGTGCGACGCGTTATGATAGACTCGGACCGAGCAGATGAGAAGCCCTCTGTCAAGTGACAGCAGTGCTCCGCTGTGATGGGCGAGCCGTTGGGACGGAGCTGCCTCGCATTGGCAGCACAGCCGCCGGCCCGAAATCGGGCAGGTGGGTGGCGTGAGGGATGCCGGGACCAGAGCTCACTTCGAGGGGCCCGTTGCAGCACGTGCGCCCCGACCTGGAGAAAGGGGGGGCGTAGGGCTTCACGCGGTACCTGCGGCGTACGTTTGAACGCACGCGGGCGACAGGTACGCCCAGATCAGGCACATTTGGACCAGGCAACAACAATCAGGCATCAAAAAACATGCGCATACGAAGCTGGACGTTCAACGTGACAAACCGTTTGCCAGCCTTGCTCAAGCATGCGCCTGCAAACCAGTTGCGCCGACAACACGACACGCGCCGCACGGACACATTCGGCACGGGCGTGGTGCCGCAGCATATTCTCCGAAAAGCCGCCCAAACCGCTTGGCTTCCATTCTTTGTCTTGCTGCATCGTATTCGTTGCAGAAGATCAGCACAAAGGAATGTGACAGTCGTTTTGCATGACATCCCCCCCTCTGCTCACCCAGTGTGGCCCTTGGCCTCCTGCCACACGCAGTGAAGGCAGTAGGGGTACTGCGCGATGTGCACCCCCGGCATGAGGGGGCCGAAGTGCTGCCGATACACCACCTGAGGGGGGGGGGGGGGGGGGGGGGGGCGAGGTTGGGGGTCGGCAGGTGATGGACTTTGGGAGTTCGCAATTCTGGTGGTCTGGAGGCTTTACGGTTTTGTTTATCCGTTCATCGGCCAGGTGTGCTGCAGGATGTTAAAATCTTTACGATTTGGGGTCTCAAGGGCGGGTTTTGAACTGCAGAGCATGGGGGCACCTCGGAGCACGAGCAGGGACAGAACGGACGGGACAGCAGGGGACTGGGGGGGGGATCAGGAGCAGGGAGGGAGGCGCCCACTGCACTTTGGACCGGCCGGCAAGGCCCTGCACACGCGAGTTCCGCGTGCCAAGCCGACTCAAACTGTGCCCAGAAAGCCTGGCCCGGACTGTATTGATGACAAGCAAGGCGGCTGGGCCCTTGCAGCTGGTCAACGCACCTTGCTGCTGGTAAGGGCCATCGCGCCGATCGAGCGGCCGTGGAAGCCACCCTGTTGGGTAGGAGGGCGCGGTCTGCTTTTCGTGGGTGGTGGGGCGAGGACGTGAAAGGTGGCGACGCGCCAGGAGGCGCGGTGCTGCGCATGCAGAGCGGCCAAACTCCTGCTCCCGTCGATGAGGGAGGCCTAGCAGGTGGCAGTCTCTAATTGCAAGCGCGGGCCGAGCACAATCAGCGCCTCTGCGGACCAACAGCAGCAGCCGCGGCCCCCTGCTGCGGCCCCAGGCCCCTCTGTGCATAAGGGAAGCGAGGCGACGAGGCCCTGTTCCGGTCCAACCCCCTCCTGTCCCCCGCGACGTGCCAGTGTCCGCCCCCGGCCCCGTGCCCGTCCCCACTAGAAAGAAAGACCGAGGTCCCTGCCGCTTTATGAGGGGCTCTTGAGGCTGCAGGCGCGGCTCACGTCGAAGGCAATGATGCCCTGGCGCCCCGTGGCCGCCCGCGCGATCTTGATCGCATTATCCACCGCCTCGCTGCCGCTGCGGGCGGCGGGCGGGGATGGGACGCGAGGAGGGGTGCGCGCGGGGCGCACCGCGGGGCGTCCGGGCAGGGGGCGCGATTGGCATGCGTCTCGAGCGCAGATCGCGCATGAGTATGCGCGTGCTTGCACGCGCCCATGCGAAGCGGGGCGCGCAGCGCGCTACCACCACAAAACCCCTTTTGCAGCATGCGCACCTGTTGCAGAGGAAGTATGAGTCCAGGTGTTCTGGCATGATGCGCTTCAGCAGGGGGACCAGCGCCGCCATCGGCTCGTGCGCCCCGACCAGGTTCTGCGATTTCCATGACAAGGGCGTGTTGGGGCACGACCCGACACGCCGATTTCTGTTGCTCAGGCCAGACTTGTGGTGCCGCGCCGGACTGCGCGGTGCGCCGACCGAGCGGCCCGACGGGCGCTGGGCGCCGCGCTCCGCCGCGCTGCTCGCACCCTCGACGCCGCCGACCCCGCCGCGGCCCGGACCCTTCCCTTTGCCTGCAAGCGCAGCCGCGCCGACGCAGGCGCCCGCGCTAGCCCGCACCTGCTGCGCGTGCACGATTTTTCCGGCCTGCTCCTGCACGGCCGCCACCACGCGCGGGTGGCAGTGGCCCGTGGATGTCACGCCGATGCCTGGAGAGGCACGGGCGGGTACAGAGGCATTGGGCGGCCATCAGGCGCTCCGTGAACAGGGCGAGGCCCGCGGCTGCGCGGTCGCTCGAAGCGAGACGGGCCGCTCTGTCTCAGCATGGCAGCGTAGCGGCTGCGGCGCCCGCGGGCGGCTGCGTGCGGCTACCTCGTCAAGTCACAGCAGAGCGATTGCCGGGGCGCCGGCGCCTGGCAGGAGCAACAGTCCTTGGTCTCAAAATCCTGCCGCTGCCTGCAGCTGGCCGCACCTGACGCCATATCCAGGTACTTTGTCCCATCGTTGCTGTAGAGCCAGCTGCCCTTGCCATGGGTAATGATCACGTCCTGCGGCGTATGAATGCAGGCAATTTGGTGGGGATAAGGGCCGGGCGCCCATGGGCGTCGGGGCGTCGACGATTTGCGTGACGCATTGCGTGAGGGGGGCAGAATTGGTGAGTTGGCAACGGGAGCTGAGCGCGACATGTGTGTTGGTGGACGTGCTGCTTGTGGGGCGCCTTTGCAGCTGCAAAAGACGGAAATGTTGGGCTATGCATGTCAGCATCCGCTTTCACGCGGCCCAAACAACCCACTCTTGTAACGCAATTGCAGCTGCTACAGTTGCTGCCCGACGCCGCCGAACGCAGTCAGGCGCGCCGTGTGGAGGCTGGCGGGCCGGGCGGCAACCACCCGAAACATTGATAGCCAATCAATTGCGGGCGGTGCTCCCGGCAACGGTGGTCATGCGACAAATCAACCCGAAGGGGAACCCACGTTGAACTTGCTGAGCCCTGCCGCCATATGCCGATAAATACCCTGTAATCCACCCTTTTTTAGCTGCTTGGCAGCAGCTGCTGCTATATCCGACATGGCTGTGCGGCTCTGATCTCGACCAGGTTCACCAGTGACAGTGTATGCTGTATGTAGGGTTGTTAAATGATATGATATGCTACAGTAATCTGCGTCCGATTGGCAAAGTGCGCAAAGGACAGAAGGGGGTCAGCACCTACGGCGTTGGCATTCAGGCGGAACAGCTGTGTGCAGTGTGTCATCCAGTCATGGCGCAGACTCGGCTGGCAGCGTGCCTCATGTGGGTTCCCGTCTACTAGCTTAGACCATGTACAGTAGATTCCAGGTTTTTGGCGATGAAATTGTACTGCTGCGATGTTTGTTTCAGAGCCGACTCATGAATTGCCATCATGAGAGGGTCTGATTCATCCCCTTGGGCCAACAGGTCACAGACGGCTCATAATGCACAAGGCGGGGCGGGACGCCTTGGTCGTTACACTGGCAGCTGCTGTTGTCCGCCCGTGTGCCTGCTCTCATGCGCGGCGCGGCGCGCCGGCAGCGGCGCTTGCGCCTTGCCGGCTTCGCTGATCACGCACCCTGTTCCGTGGTGATAGCGTCAAAGCGCGCCACCAAAGCAGCCAACGTCGCAGACGACCCCAGCGCATGGCCAGGCGCACTCAGCAGCAGCCAACAAAATCACAGGGAGGGCGCGCAGTAATTACTTGCTCATGTGCGCAAGGGATGGCCCAGTGCAGGGCTGAGGGGGACTGGTCAACTGCCGTGTGTCGATCAACATGTGCAACAGGGACATGCAAATTAGAGGGGTCCGTCGTATCAAAGAAGCTTGCAATGGAGCTGCAACACAGGGCATGCAGGCGAGGCCTAATGAGGTGGGGGGGTTAGGGCCAGCATGGGTGTGTGCGACTTGCAACCTGCAGGGATGGCACCGCAGGTGGCGAGAACCTTTCTCGTCTGTCACGCTTCCAACGCGTGCTTTTCACAATGTTAGGCGCCGCCACCAGATATGCGGCCGGATGGGCCTGCATATGTATTCCTGAGCAGGTTGAATTGATTGACGGGTGAGATGCACGCCGGCAGGGGGCTCACACGCGGCCGACGGTTGCCAAATTCAAAAGACCGGCTGAAACCAGGCTGGCCGGGGCGTGCCTGGATCCCAAGCTGCAACACGGCTGGCTGCCCAGCCGCACAGAGCCAGGGAGGGTTACGCCGTCAGACTGTGCACTTGGTGGCGGAAAACCTGCGGAGGGCCCATTACGGGTTGGAGGGCAGGACGGCGGCATCAAGGCGCGCAGAGGCTGCTGGAGCGCGCAGGTCGCTCGGAGCTGGGCACATGACCGGCAGCAGCAGGCGCGGCGGGTGCGTGCAGGTGGGGCAATGCACGGGCGGCTGCGTCCGCCCATACAGCGTACTCACGTCCTTGCAACAGGGTCATAGGGTCCTGCGCGCGCAAGTGCAAGCGGCGTTCATGTGTTGCGCGCAGAAACAAACGTTTGAATTGCGATGTGCACACTCAGTGACTCGAGTCCCCGCCGAACCAGCCTCATCTCGGCCGCCTGTGTACCCGCGTCGCCGGGCCCCTCGCCCTCCCCATACGACACCACCCAAGCGTCACCAGCCTCCCAACCCACCTGTGGTGGCGTTGCTGTTTGGGGTCTCTTTGATGCACTTGGAGCAGCCAAAGCGCTGCAGGATCTTGCCGTTCTGCAGCGAAAGCATAGAAAGGCGCACTTTTTTTGGGGGGGGGGTCACACGGTTTTTTGACTCTGCAATCACCCAAAACCAGGCGTGCCGGGTAAAGCGCAGGCGGATGCCGAAATCGTCGCCGGTTCGGACGCGAGCAAAAGCGTGGGGCGGTGCGGCAAACGCGTGTCTTGATCGTCAACACGCGTTTGCAGGCGATCGGGTGCTCACGGGCTTGACCAATCGAGAGTAGCCGTAGCCGGGGGCACACCCTGCGTTGGGGGTTGTGGGTTACGACACTGGTTTGAAGCGCGGGGTGCATGCACACAGCAGCGGATGCCGCTGGAGAGCGCGGCGAGCCCCCACAGCCGACGGCGCGCCCCACGCGCCGCACGCCGGGCGCCGCGCTGGTGCGGTTGCACTCACAGCACTCCCCCAGTTTGGGGTCGACGAGGCCCTTGTTCTTGAGCACGTTGGCCGGCCCGCGGCAGCTCTTGCACAGATAGGAGTTCACAAACAGGGTGCTGCTTAGGGCCTTGAAGATGGTCGCCGGGTCAGTGATGTTGCGAGCCTGAAGGGCTGCCAGGATCTTGGGCCTGAAGTAGAGCTGCGGGTGAGCGGCAGACGGGCGGGCGCGGAAGGGAGGGGGAGAGGCGGGGCGGGTCATGGCAGCGGTGGGGATGGAGGAACGTGTGGAGGGCCGCGTGCGCTAGGTCGCGCGGAGAGGGGGCGCCCAACCACCTAGTTACCTTGCAGCCAGAGCCACCGTTGACGGCCGTGGTTGTCTGGACGAGTGCCAAAAGCAGCACGGCGGCCGCTGCGATGCGGAGGCGGTGCATTGTGCTGCTCTCTGTGCGCAAGAAGGGTGCAGCAGGATTGCAAGGGAGAGGTCGGCGGCGCGTGCAACAACGGCCAGGGATAGAGGCTTCGAATAGCGCGTCAGCAAGTCGTAAGAACCAGCGTGAATAGTGTTTGCTGTCCCATCTGCGCAAACTAGCTGTCTCCGCCCGCGGCCACCCGACCCCTGTCCGAGCAGCCACCTCGCGTGTCACTTGCAGGCACGCCGGATCCTAGAGCTTGAGAGAGGTAAATATGTTGTTTTGGTTGTTGATATCAAACGCCCACCGCATGGATTGCATGTGCGCACATCACCTGGAGCGCGGTGATGTCGGCACCAGAAGAAGCCAGCAGAATGTGGGCTGTGGGATTCCTTTGGCAAGTGGCGCCTTGCCAGCTCACACTCGGCGCCAAAGATAGACACGGTCTCTACTTGCCCAAGCAATTGTGGGCTATGAGTTTCAAGCTTTGGTCGGTGCACCCCTGCGGGCGTATACCCCGACATTGGGTGACCACCACCGCCAAGCAGCTACCTTGCAGCTCCAACCTCCGAGTCACTCTGGATCCGCTTGTCAAACCACCACCATCCAAAATGCTCGCAATTATCTTTTTGCAGTGACAACGAGATAACACTCGTCTTTGCAAGGCCCCACATGCAGCTGCCTTGTTTCCGGCCATGCTGCAACACCTGCCCTGCAGCATATCAAGCCACAGCCTGCATCAATCGTTCCACGACGGTCTCATGCCAGCTGGTGCATACACACTCGCATTAGCTGGGTTTACCGAGCGTGCATACTTGCACTAGCAGGATGACTTCGACTTGGTGAAGGACTAAGCTATAAATGGCCTACTGCTGACATGGATTGTGCAGAGGGTTGAGCCAACAGCAAACGCGATCTCACACACGTCACACAACTCGCAACAAACTTATAAGCAGGAGAGCAAGTCAAAGGCTAACTGCAAGAGACACCCTGGGTGCCGTACACAGTGCCAACAAAGCAGGCTGTGTGGGCCGCCACTGATCAGAGCAGCACATCTTCGAGGGCGCCGCTGCCGCCAGATGCCGCAAACGTGATGGCAGCGCGGGGCGCACTCTCAAACCCGTACCCGGCCGCCACGTCAGCCCCGCCCCCAAAGCCACCCTCTGCGGCTGCCGCGGCCGGCGACGCGGCGGCCAGGAAAGCCCCCTCGAGCCCGCCGCCGCCGCCGCCGCCGCCGCTGCCGTCGCCGCCCCACGAGCGCGGCGGCGGCGCCGCCGCGAAGCCCTGGCGCCCGGCCTGCGAGCTCGGGGAACGCCCGTGGCCGGCGGCCCCTCTCGACTTGGCGACTGCGGTGAGGGCCGCGTGCACCGCCACAAAGTAGACAGCAAACAGCCCTCGCGGCCCCGGGGGCCGGTGCTCCCGCAGCGCCTGGAACGCCCGGCTGCTGGCGACCGAGGGGACAGCGGCGGCCGCACCTGGCGAGCGCGCGGCGGGCCAGGGCGTGGACATCGCGTCCTGCTGCTGCTGCTGCTGCTGCTGCTGCAGCTGCGCAAACGCCGTGCGCCGCTCCTCTGCCTCGGCTTGGGCGACAGCCAGCTCGGCCCGCAGCCGCTCGGCCTCCGCTTGGAGCTCCGCCAGCTCAGCGTCCCGCTGCTGCTGCTGCTGCTGCTGCTGCTGCTGCTGCTGCTGCTGCTGCTGTTCATGTTGCTGCCCTTGCTGCTGCTCCTTCTGTTGCACTGCGTCCTCCCCTCGGTCAGCCGCCGCCGCGGCTCCCTCGCCGTCGCCCTCCCGCGCACCCGCATCGCCGGCCCCTCCGCGCGCCTCGGCCGCCGCTAGGCGCTGCCCCAGCTCCGCGATCGCCGCGTCGCGGCCCGCCAGCGCCTCCCTCAATTCCGCCACGTCAGCCTCCGCCGCGCGCCGCCCGGACTGCGCCTGCTCCAGCGCAGGGCGCAACGCTGCCTGGGCCTGGACCACGGACTCCTGGACTGCCCGCTCGAGCTGCTGCTGCAGGCGCGACTCCTGCACAGCACGCATGGCGCGAGCGGGGCGGCGGGCGGGGTGTGGTTGTGGGGTCGCACACGAAGGGAATTCACATGCGTTGAGGGCCCAGAGGCTGAGTTCATCTGAGCACGCCCTCAGCCTCTTGGTGGCGCGAAGCAGCTTGTTGGTGTGTTCCCCGTGACGCAAATAGGGTTTAGGGCGTGCGCTTTTCGAGCTTGCTCGCGCACGCACCTGCTCCCGCGCCGCCGCGGCCTCCGCCCGCGCCTCCTCCAGCGCCGACTGCGCCGCCTGCAGCTGCATCCCCCGCTCCTGCGCCGCGCGCCGCGCCTCGGCCGCGGCCGCGGCCTCGCGCTCGCGCTCGGCGGAGAGCGAGGCCGCCTCCAGGCGCGACTCCTCGAGCTGCCGCACCAGCTGCGCCTTGCTGGCCGCGGGGCTCGCCTCTCCTGCCGCCGCGTCGTCTGCGCCAAACGGCCCCGCGCCGCCGGCCGCGCTCGCGCTGCTCCGGCGGGCCGCGGTGCCCCAGCCGCCCCCGGCCGCATCCTCCTCGGGGCCGAAGCCCCCGAACGGCACGGCTGCGAGTCCTGCCCCGCCCGCGGCCGTCGACGCGGCGCAGTCGGCAGCGCCCGCCGCCGCGTCTGCGCGCAGCGAGGCGAGGGTGTCGGCGACGCGTGCGGCGACCGTGGCCTCCAGTGCCGCCTTTTGATTTTCCAGCTCGGACGCGGCCGCTGACGCCGCATCCGTGGCTTCGGCGACCTGGGTTTGCGGCATTTCCACGCACCAGGCAGCGCGGGGTTGAAGCCGGTGAGCGGACAGGCGCCGAGCGAGACCAATACACACACCCGAAAGCGCCAAAACCGCCACTTGCGTCTCAACCAGCTGGGGTCGACCTGGTGGTTCTCTCGGCTCGGCCCAAGGCTGCGCGCCGCGCCCCTCGCTCGCAACTGTTGCTGCCGGGTGGCTGGCGCGTGTGAGCTTGCATTCTTGGCGCTGCTCGGGAGCGCTGGTGGGTGCGCGTCTGAGGAGACACGCTGTGGCCCCCCTGCTTGAGCCTCTTGCACGCACCTGGGCAAACAGCTGGTTCATGTTGGCCTGGCGCGTCTCTAGCAGGGCCGACAGATCACAAATCTGCAAAGGGCAAGGGGTGGGCATTAGAAGCAAGCCCCCAGCCTGGCAGGGTCGCAGGCGCGGGCTGGTCACCGGCCGGCCCTCAATCAGTGTAGGCGCCGCGCCCCCTGCTGCGCCCGCAGTTGGCCTCACCGCTGCTCCCCAGGGCCGATTGGGTCGCCCCACGGGCGCCCGCCCGCGCTCCATGTATCCCCGCCCTCCTTCGTGCCCCCTCACCTGCCGCTGCAGCGCCGCCTTGAGTTCGACCTCCGAGAGCAGCTGCCCCTCCCGCTCCTCCAGCGCCGCCCGCAGCTCCTCCCCCTCGGCCTGCGAGGGGTGTCAGGCCGACATCAGAACAAGCCGGGGCGAGGGCAGAACCCTCGCGTCCCGCAGGCACCCGTGGCTCAGCGCATGCAAATGTAAGCGACCCAGTCGGGCGCCAGCCGGTGCGAGCAAGCGCGGCGGCAGCCCAGGGCTGGATGCAAGATGAAGGCCGCGGCGCGCGTTCGCACCTGCAGCGCAGCGAGCGCCTCCTCCTTGTCAGCAAGCTCGGCCTCCACCGCCGACAGCCGGGCCGCAGCTTCCTGGAGAGCCGCTTCCGCGTCCGCCAACCTCGCCGCGAGGGCGGCAGCGCCGCCGTCGCCATCAGCGGCGGCCCCGCCCTCACCCTCTGCAAGCCCCGGCGCTACGGCATCGCCAGCAGCTTCCCAACCGTTTGAGTTGGCCTCTCCTGCGTCGCCGCGCGCGTCGGCAGCCTGCTGCTCTGACACCCGCTGCTGCAGCGCCCCAGGCGAATCGGGGCCGCCGAATCGCGCGGGCTCCTCGTCAGCTGCTGCATCCTCATCAGCATCCCAGCCGCCCCAGCCGGCCGCGGGTGCCGCCGCCGGCGCGGAGACGGCATCAACGGCGGCGCGCGTTTCTGCCTCCTGCAGCTGCTGCTCCAGAGCATGGCGCGCGTCGAGGGCAGCCTGCAGCTGCACCTCCAAGTCTACAATGCGCTGCTGCATTTCCTCGAAAGATCTGGAAGCGTCCGTCTGCGCAGGCTCGGCCCCAGCCTCAGCCTCGCCGTCCGCGTCCCAACCGCTCCAGGCGGCGGCTGGCGCGGCCACCGGCGCGCTCGCCGGCGCGCCAGCCGCGCGCGCCTCTGCTGCCTGCAGCTGCTGTTCCAGCTCAGCGACCCGCTGCTGCAGCAAACCTGGTGAGGCCGCGGATTGGCCCTGCGCATCGCTTGTGGCCTCCGCGTCGGCCTCCCAGCCGCCCCAGGCGGCAGCGGGCAGACCAGCAGCGTGCGCTGCGCGCGCCTCGGCCTGCTGCAGCTGCTGCTCCAGCGCCTGGCGTGCATCGAGGGCTTCGCGCAGCTGCGCCTCGAGATCTGAAACCCGCAGCTGGAGATGTTTTGAGGAGTCCCGCGCATCATCAGCCTGAGCAGGTGCGGCCTCAGCCTCGCCGTCTGCATCCCAACCGCCCCAGCCGGCAGCAGGCGGCGCATTGGCCGCCGTCGCGGCAGCGGTGGCGGCGCTGGCGGCATGCGCCTCTGCCTCCTGCAGCTGCTGCTCCAGCGCCTGGCGCACATCAGCAGCGTCCCGCAGCTGCGCCTGCAGCTCTGAAACCTGCTGCTGCAGACCATCCGAGGAGCCCCGCGCGCCAGCCTTGGCCGGTGCAGCCTCGGCCTCGCCGTCCGCATCCCAGCCACCCCAGCCAGCAGCAGCCGGCGCATCCAGCGGCGGCGCGGCAGCGGCGGCGGCGGCAGTGGCGGCGGCGGCAGCGGCACGCGCCTCGGCCTCCTGCAGCTGCTGCTCCAGAGACTGGCGTGCATCAAGGGCGTCCCGCAGCTGCGCCTCGAGATCTACAACCCGTTGCTGCAGATTTTCCGAGCCCGGCGCGTCAGCCTGAGCAGGTGTCGCCTCAGCCTCGCCGTCCGCATCCCAGCCGCCCCAGCCGGCAGCAGGCGGCGCATTGACCGCAGTCGCGGCAGCGGCGGCTGCGCGCGCCTCGGCTTCCTGCAGCTGCTGCTCCAGAGACTGGCGTGCATCAAGGGCATCCTGCAGCTGCGCCTCCAGACCTGCCAGTCGCTGCTGCAGATCTTCCAAGCCCGACGCATCAGCCTGAGCAGGTGCCGCCTCAGCCTCGCCGTCCGCATCCCAGCCGCCCCAGCCGGCAGCAGGCGGCGCGTTGGCCGCCATTGCAGCAGCGGGGGAGGCGGCGCGCGCCTCAGCCTCCTGCAGCTGCTGCTCCAACGCATGGCGCGCATCAAGGGCGCCCCGCAGTTCGGACTCCACCTCTGCCAACCGCTGATGCAGCACCTCGTCACCTGGAGCACCTGGCTGTGGCTGCTCACCCGCGGCGCCGCCGTCTGCACCCCACTCGCCCCGAGCTGCTTCGGCCGCCGGCCGGCTGGCCGCCGCTTCCCCGTTTGCGGCCTGGGCGGCGGCGGCGCGCGCCTCAGCATCCTGCAGCTGCGCTTCCAGCTCGGCCACCCGCTGCTGCAGCGCGTCTGCCTGGCCCTCGGATTGCACGGGTTGGCCGGAAGCGTCGCCGTCCGCGTCCCACCCGCTCCACCCAGCAGAGGGCGCGGCTGCTTGTGCAGTGGCCGCCGCGTCAGTGGCGCGCGCCTCGGCCTCCTGCAGCTGCTGCTCCAGAGCCTGGCGTGCGTCAAGGGCGTCCCGCAGCTGCGCCTCCAGGACTTCCACCCGCTGCTGCAGCGCTTCTGACGAGCCCGGCGCGTCAGCCTGGGCAGGTGCGGCCTCAGCCTCGCCGGCCGCGTCCCAGCCGCCCCAGCCGGCCGTGTCCGCCGGCGCATCGGCCGCCGGTGCAGCCTCCGCGATCGCGTTGGCGGCAACACTTCGGCCGCCGTTGGCGTCGGCGTTTGCGCGTGCCTCGGCCTCCTGCAGCTGCTGCTCCAGCGCCTGGCGCGCATCAAGGGCGCCCCGCAGCTGCGACTCTACCTCAGCTAAACGCTCCCGCAGCGCCAGGGCATCCGCGCGCGCAGCCTCCGCCTCCTCCCGCCCGCCGTCCTGTGGCAGTTGCTGCTCGGGCAGCTGCGCGGGCTGGCCTGCCTGCAGCGCCAAGACCTCGGACTCGAGCTCTGTGATGCGGTCCTGCCGCGCCGCGCTGATCTTTTTCAGCTTCAAAAACTGCGTCTTGGCTCTCTCCAGCTGCGCCCGCAGCGCCCCGGCCTCGCTCGCCGCGCCCCCCGCCACGGCGGCAGCGTTGTCGGCGGCGCTCTCGCCCTCGCCTGCGCCGCCGTCGGAGCTTCGGCGCGGGGGGGCGGCCGGGGCTGAGGGTGCGGTCTCAGTGGGGACAAGGGGCTGCTGCTCCAGCTTCTCGACGCGCTCGCGCGCGGCAGCCAGCTCGGCTCGGGCTTCGGCCAACGCTCCCTCTGCCGCCGCCCGCGCGCCCTCCGCGGCCGCCGCGTCAGCGCGCAGCGCGCCCGCCTCCGCCTCGGCCTCCGCCAGCCTCCGCCGCAGCTCCTCCTGCACCTGCTGCTGCTCCCCGCCGCCGCCGCCGCCCTCGACGCGCCCAATGAGGAACTGCATATCCTCCGCCTGAGCCGCCAGCTCCTGTCGCGCCTGCGCCAGCTCAGCCTGCACCGCCTCCAGCCGCTCCCGCAGGGCCGCCGCCTCGGCGAGCGCCGTGGCAGCCTGCTCTTCGCGTTGCTGCTGCTGCTGCTCATCCTCTAGACCGGCCGGGGCTGCGGCGGCCGCCGCAGCCGCTGCCTCTGCCTGTTGGGCGCGCTCCTCCAGCGCCGCCACGCTCCGCCTGAATCCCTCGGCCTCCTCGGCCGCAGCCGCCGCCGCCGCGGCCGCGGCCCTGTGGGCCGCCTCCACCTCGGCAGCTAGCGCGTCGCAGCGCTGCCGCAGCGCCGCAGCCTTCGCCTCAAGCGCCGCCCGCCCCTCCTCAGCCGCCGCCAGAAGCGCCTGCAGGCCGCCGACCTCCTCTGCAACGGCCCGCGCCGCCTCCTCGGCGGCCGCCCGCGCCTCTGCTTCGCCCTCTGCGGACGCCCGCAGCCGCGCGGCCTCGGCGCGCAGCTGCGCGGCAGCTGCCGCCTCGTGGCGCACGTCGTCGAACGCATCCTTCACGTCCGCAAGCTGCATCTCCGCTTCCTCGAGCGCTGTCACCGCCTGGTCGCGCTCCGCGGCGGCGGCCTCAAGAGCGGCCGCCGCCTCGCCGCGCGCCGCGTCTGCCGCCTCGCGTGCGGCGGCAGCGGCGGCCAGGTCCGCCGCCAATGCGTCACGCACCGTGGCGGCCTCTCCCAACGCCGCCGCCGCGGCGTCGCGTTCCTCCAATGCCCCATCGCGCTCTGCGGTGGCCGCCGCCAGCTCAACCGCCAACGCATCGCGCGCCGCGGCGGCCGCTTCAAACGCAGCCGCCGCGGCATCGCGTTCCCCTTCTACGGCAGTGCGCCCCGCGGTCGCGGCAGCGAGCTCGGCCGCCAACGCATCGCGCGCCGCAGCGGCCTCTTTCAACGCCGCCGCTGCAGCGTCGCGGCCCTCGCACGCCGCGTCGCGCCCCGCGGTGGCCGCTGCGAGCTGCAACGCGAGCGCCTCGCGCGCCGCCACCGCCGCCTCCACCGCCGCCAGCGCCGCTTCGCGCTCCTCCACAGCGGCATCGCGCTCCGCGGCGGCCGCGCCGGCGGCTGCCTCCGCTTCGGCCAGCGCCGCACGCGCCGCGGCAGCCTCGGCGGTCGCCGCCTCCAGCTGCGCAGTGAGCCCTGGGCGCCCCTCTGCCTCTGCGTCCCTGCCGGCGCCGCTGCCGGCAGCGTCATCAGCGTCCCGCGTTCCGGCCGCCAGCCGGCGTTCTGCCTCGTCGGCCTGCGCCTTGGTCTCCATGAGCCGCGCCCTCAGCGCCTTGTATTTCACCACTAGCGCCTGGTACTTCGCAGCATAGTCCCCGCCCGCCGCCGCGACGCCGCCGCCAGCGCCGCCGGCGTCCGTGGCGATGCTCCCGCTGGGCGCGGCCGCGGCACGCGCCTCAAGTAGCTGCGCCTCGCGCTCCTGCAGCTGCTCTTCGAGCGCCGCGACCTGCGAGCGCGCGCCGGCGAGGTCGGCGGACGCGGCGTCCAGGTTGCCGCGCGCGGCGGCGAGCTCGCGCTCCGCGGCGTCCGCAGCGGCGCGCGCGGCGTGGGCGGCTTCGTGCGCGGCGTGCGCGGCCTCCAGCTGCGGGTCGCCAGCTGCAGGTTCGGGCTCGCCGCCCCAGCCGCCCCACGCAGCCTCCGCCGCCGGCCCCGAGGCGCCGGGGCCGGCGGCGGCGCTGGCGGCGCGCGCCTCTGCCTCCTGCAGCTGCTGCTCCAACGCATGGCGCGCATCAACAGCTTCCCGCAGCTGCGCCTGCAGATCTGAAACCTGCTGCTGCAGACCATCCAAGGAATCCCGCACATCAGCCTGTACAGGTGCAGCCTCAGCCTCGCCATCCGCATCCCAGCCGCCCCAGCCAGCAGCCGCTGGCGTATCGACCGCGGTTGCGGCAGCGTGCGCTGCGCGCGCCTCGGCCTCCTGCAGCTGCTGCTCCAGAGACTGGCGCGCATCAAGGGCGTCCCGCAGCTGCGCCTCCAGATCTGCCAGCCGCTGCTGCAGCACAGCGACTTCCATCCCCGGCTGCGAACCGTCCCCCTCATCCGCGTCCCAGCCGCCCCAGCCAGGCGCGGCCGCGGCCGACTCCGCGGCGGGCTCGGCGGCGCGCGCCTCTGCGTCCCGCAGCTGCGACTCGAGCTCCGCCACCCGCTGCTGCAGCGCCTCCGCCTGGTCTTGAGTGGCCAGGTTGGGTGCTGCGGCGCGAGGCGCCGCGCCATCTAAGGCGTCGCACGCCCATCCGTCGTTGCCGTTGCCCCAGCCGGTGGCGGCGCCGCCCCAGCTGCTGGCAGGCTCCTCTTGAGCAACCTGCTGCTGCTGCTGCTGCTGCTGCTGCTGCTGCTGCTGCTGCTGCTGCTGCTCTTCAAGCAGCTTCGCAACCCTCTCCTCAGCCGCTGCCAGCTGCGCCTCGCGGGCCGCGAGCTGCTGCTGCAGATCGTCTGCAACCGCCGCCTGCTCACGGAGCGCCAGCGCCCCCGCCTCCGCCTCGGCCGCGCGGTCCTGCGCCTGCGCCGCGGCCTGCTCGGCGGCGGCGAGCCGCCGCTCAAGGGCCTCTGCAGCTGCTGCGCGCCCGTCCGCCTGCGCCGCCGACGCTTCGGCCGCAGCCAGCCGCAGCTCCAGGCCCGCGGCCGCGGCCGCCGCGTGCGCCTCGGACGCCTCGGCCCGCCCCTCCGCCTCTGCGAGCCGCTCGTGCGCTGCCGCAAGCTGCGCCTCGCGCGCCGCGAGCTGCTGCTGCAGGTCGTCGACGCACTCTGCGGACTCGGAGACCTGCCGCGCCGCCGCGGCCGCGCGCTGCAGCGCGGCGTCGCGGTCGTCCTCCGCGTCCGCCAGTCGCGCGTGCGCCTCCCTCAGGCGCTCCGCTGCATCTCCCAATGCGGCGCGCTCCGCGGCGAGCTCGGCCTGCGCGGCCGCAATCTGCGCCTCGGCCCGCGCGAGCCGCTCGCCCAACTCCGCCGCCTCTGAGGCGCGGCCCGCCGCGGCCGCCGCCCCTCCCGCGTGCTGCTCGTCGCCCCACCCGTCCCAATCGCCAGCGGCCTCCGCAACTGGCTCCAACGAGAAGCCCGCGGCGCCCGCCCCCGACTCGCCGGCCGCGCCCTGCTGCTGTCCCTCGAGCGCCGCCCTAAGCCGCGCTGCCTCCTCGACCGCCGCCTCTGCCGCCTCCTCTCGCTGCCGCACCCCGGCCTCCCTCTCCTCCATCACCCCCTGCAGCCCGTCCAGCTGCGCCCACACCTCGGCCAGCTTCTCGGCGGCTTCCCGCTGCGCGCCCTCCGCCGCGGCGCGCGCCTCCTCGCGCGCCTGCAGCTCCGCCTCCTTCTCCTCCAACTGCGCCTCGAGCGCGGCCACCTGCGCGGCCGCGGCCGCCGTGGCGGCCGCCAGCTGCTCCTGGAAGCCCTCCAGCTGCTCCCTGTAGCTGTGCAGCTCTGCCTCCTCGTCTTCCGCCCCCGCCACCGGCCCTGCCAGGCTGGCGCCCGCGGCGCCCGCCGCCGCCTTGGCCTGCTGCAGCTCCCTGATGCGCTCCTTTTGCCGCTGCGCGACCGCCCGCAGCTTGGCGGCCTGCGCCTCTGCCTGCTGCAGCCGCTCCGCTGCGGCGCGCCCCTCTGAGGCGGCGGCCTCCAGCTCCTCGACCCTGAACTGCAGGGCCTGCAGCTGCGCCAAGCCCACGGCGCCATCGTCACCGTGCGAGGCGCCATTGTCGAGTGCGCTGTTGTCTGCGGCCAGGGGGCGTGCCGCTGCCAGCTCTTCCGCGGCGGCTGCCGCGGCCTGCTGCTGCAAAGACAGCTCGTCTTGAAGCTGAGGGGATGAACGCAAAGGAGAAGCATGCGCACACGGACATGTATGAGTGAGCAGGGCTTGTGCAGACCGGTGTGAGTGCGAACACATAAAGGGGACAGCATGAGTTCGCAGCGGCCCGACACAGCAGCGGCAGCAGCATGTGCAAAATAACCTGCACGCTGCCGAGGGAAGCCCACCCACCTGCTGCTTCTCCCTCTGCAGCTCCCTGATGCGCTCCTTCTGTTTCTGCGCGACCGTCCGAAGCTTGGCAGCCTGCTGCTCGGGGCTCGCGCCGGCAGTGCTGCTGCCGGCTGCAGCAACAGACGTGGGGGACGGCGGCGTGGGCGCCGCCGGTGAGGCCTCTTGAAGCGCCTGTGAAGGGTATGTTTGTGTGTAGGGGGGAGAGGGTGAGGCACTTGCAGTGTGTCAAGGACTACAGGGGGGGCGGGCGATTTGCAAAAGAAAGCGATGGCGATGCCGCTGAATTCTGCAGCGAGCTGCGATGCCTGCGCATGCCGCAGCCCACCTGACGAGCAGCCGCCGCCTCGGCCTCAGCCTCTTGCAAACGCGCCTGGGCTGCTGCAAGCTCCTGCGTGTGGCAAGGGAGAACCGGAACCTTGTCAAGATCATCCCAGCCAGGAGGAGGATTGCCTGGTGTACTGGAGAACATGAGGTCTTCACACCATCGCCGCTGCCCGTGGAAGCTGCGGCACAGCAGCGGCAGCCCCTCCGCCCGCCGCCGGCCCGCCGGCCAGGCCGCGCGCACCTGCCGCAGCCGCGCCTCTTGCGCGTGCGCTCTGCCGGCCGCTGCCTCGACGCGGCGCTCCGCCTCCGCGGCGGCCTCCAGATGAGCATCCTCCAGCTCTGAGATGGTGGCGACGAGCTCCGACTCACGTGCCGCCGCGGCGCTGCGCAGCGCCTCTACCTCATCCTCCGCCAAGCGCCGCGCTGCCGCCTCGCGCTCCAGGGCCGCGGCCGCCTCCGCAACCGGGCCCGCGCCGCTGTTGGCGCCGCGCGACGCGCGTTCCTGATGCAACGCCGCCTCTGCGGCTGCCAGCCGCTCAGCCAGGTCCCGCGCCTCTGCCGCCGCGGCCCGCAGCTCGGCCTGTGCGTCGTCCAGTTGCGCGGCCGCGCCGCGCGCCTCCGCCGCCAGCGCCTCGGCGCGCGCCTCGAGCGCCAAGTGGTCCGCGTGCATGCCTGCGAGCGCGGCCGCGTGCTCGGCCGCCTCGCGGCGCGCGCAGCCTAGGGCCTCCTCCAGGTCAACCACCCGCGCCCTCGCCTCCCCCAGCTGCTCGGCGGCTTCCACCCGGCTGGCCAGCAGGGCCGACTCAGCCTCGGCGAGCGCCACGCGCAGGTGCGCGGCGGCGTCGGCGTTGGCGGCCGGATCAGAAGGGTGGCCGGCAGCCGGGTGTGGCTGAGTCGCGGCGAGCTGCTGCTGCAGGAGGGCAACCGCCTCGCGCTGCTCCTGCTCGTCCGCTTGCGCAGCCGCCAGGGCCGTTCTGAGCTGCTCGGCCTGCGCCCGCAGGGCCGCCACCCCCACACCCTCAACCTCCTCCTCCTCCTGCCACTGCTGCTGCTGCTGCTGCGGAGGCGGCAGCTCCTCCGCTTGCAATGCATGCTGTGCCTCCCCTTGCAGTTGCGCCTGCGGCTCTTCCTGGGGCTGCGCGCGCTCCTCCTCCTGCTGCTGGTGCTGCTGAGACTGGTCCGCGAGGTCCTCGCCCCACCCTTCGTCGTCCCATTCTTGCTGAGGCCAGTCCTGCTGCTGAGCCAACCGCTCCTGCTGCAGCTCCTGCTCAGCAGCGGCCGCAGCAGCCGCACCTACCTGCAATGCGGCGGGCTGTTCCACGGCAGCTGCGGACGACTCATGCTCCTCCTGCACCTGAGCGGGTGCATGGGCAGCGGCACCTGTGGCGGGCTCCCCGCCAGCCGGCAGCTCGCCATCCGCGGGCCCTGCTCCAGTCCCTACTGCCGGTGCCTGTCGGCCGCCCGAGCCCGCCTCGGACGGCCGCCGCTCAAAAAAATGCGGCGCGTTGCAGGTCCCCAGGCCCGCGTCAGCACCCCAGCCTGCGGCTGCTGTGCTGCCACCGGCGCTGCCGCGGTCAATCTGGCCTGCGTGGTGCTGCGCGGCCGCAGCCCATGGCCCCTGGTCGAGGGCGACCGCCGCATCCAGCGCCGCTGCCGCAGCTTCAGAATCCGCAACGCCGTCGTCGCCGGGCACCGCCTCGAGCGCCTCGACAGCCGCGTGCTGGCCCAGGGCCGCGGCGGTCGCGACCGCGTCGGCGTCCGCCTGCGCCGGTGTAAGGTGCTGCTGATGTTCCTGCTGCTCAGGGTGCTGCCGCTGCTGCTCCAAGTTCCCACTGGTGGTGCCGAGCCTCGCCATCAGCGCCCGCCGCCGCGTTTCGCGCGTGGGGGCCAGCTGCGCCTCGAGCGCCTTCTTGGCCCGCGCCTTGGCGAGCTGCGGGACGGCGGCGGGCGGCGCCCTTGCGCGTGTCGCTGTGTTGTCACAGGACAAGCTCGAACGCGCTAGATGCACGCGTAACCACCACCACCTTGCAGCCCCTGGTTTCAATAACAAGGCCGCGGCGCCGCACCTGCTCCTTGCCGTACGCCTTGAGAAACGCCTTGCGCCCCGCCGGGTCCCCCCAGTCGCCCAGGCTGCGTCCGTGGCGGGCGAGGATGGATCCGAGTCCCTCGCGAGCGAGATCCTCAACGCGCTGCTCGCCGTGAGAGGGGAGCGGGGCGCGGCAGGCGGCGGGCCAGCACGTCAGTGTATTGGCGTACGCAATATTCAGAGTGCCTCAAGGCAATCGCCGGCCCCGCTGCGAGGGAGTCGTGGTGCACGGTGTTTAGGCCTGCAGGCATGGCGGTAGGGACGCCCAAACCGCACCTCTTGAGAGACGCTGCCAATGTCCGCCTTTGACATGCGCCCCACGATGAAGCTCTGATAGTCATTTTTGTAACGCTGCCGGACGGCCTGCGCCGACAGCGGCAAGGGATGGGCGGCGGCAGCGCGCCATGACTGTGGGCGGCGAGCCATGCAGGTGGGAGCGCGATGCAGCAGGCAGGGCGCGCAGCGCAGCACAGCGGCATGTGCTGATTTAGTGGAAGAGGCAGATCAACTCGCATCATAATGTTCTCCATGAGTTGAGAAGCACGATCGAGGCCGTCAGCCGCTCAGGACTGGCCAACAACAACCAGATCGCAGCTTACTTGAGGTGTAAGCGCCCAGAGCACCTCGCAACAGAGCTTCATGTCCTGTCCTTCGCTTTGGAATACGTCGTGCACCACCGAGGGCTGCAGGGCGCCATCCCCCCAGACCTGCAGGAGCGTCCTCAGCGTGGCTGGGGCCTCCATTGCGTTTTTATCCTCCTAAGGCTTTCTCATCATAGGAAGGATTGGAAATACGTCATGAGGTGGGGTAGGCTGCTGGATAAGATGAGGGTGGCAACGTGACGCCTGCGCTCATCTCCAGCCCAGGACGAGCAGCAGTTCGTTGCTGGGTGCCTGGGTTGCGGCAGCACCAGCAGCTGCGCGCATCTCATGGCTGTAAGAGCTTGTGCTGATGTTTCCATGTATGCCTCTATGGCCGCAACCATGAACCACCAAACCACAACGCGCTTGCTCCGCCTCCGATTTGCCCTCGTGCCACGCCAACCAATCGCATATCGCACCTTGTGCATTGAGAGTGCCATGGGGCCTTGTGCCCAATTTGCTGACAATGGGATCCGAGCGACAATTGTGTAGAGGGAGTATCCCCCGTTTGGGCAGCATGTTTATGCAGCACGTTTTTTGGGGTGGCGAGAGCACACCAGAGAAATAACATGGAGCTGTCCGTACCCCAGAATTGATTATGGATGTGCACAGTTAGCCGCATGAGTGCAGGCAAGACTGTCGAAAAACATACTTGTTGCTGTAGAAAACCCGACTCTAGACATCAATGTCCTGCGTACGCTCCAGTCAATGGGTCAAACACAGCTGCTTATTGGCGCCGACCGAGAGCTTTGACTGGTGCAGTTGCGGTGCTCGCTGTTGCCTGTGGGATTTCTGCCATGCGTTCAGCTTGACTGTCGCAGCGCCCGTCATAGTTGATGACTGCTCGTAAACTGGCTGCCTGCCTCCGCCTGCCGCAGCACACAAGCACGCCGCTTTTGCACTCCGCACTGCCAGTGCGTGCCATCACGAATCATTGTAATGCAGGAGCTTTGATATCAGTGTGCCTGTGACGCCTCAGTCGCTCCCGTGCCAAGATCATTTCTGAAACGCTCGGGTTCCGCGGCCGGGATTGGGCCAATGGCCGCCCTGCACGGCAGTAGACGAGCTCTGCAGCAGCAATTTAGCACTAGGGCGGGGCCTACCCGCCTGGCGTTGCCGCACAACAGCAGCAGCAGCAGGCGCGTGCAGTGCAGGGCTGGCCGGGGTGGCAATGGGCTGACCGGGTGCCGCCTGGCGGGCGTGGGCAGCAGTGTGCCCACCACAGTGCTGTCAAATTCAGACCTTGAGCAGTGGGTTGACACGAATGACGAATGGATCAGCTCGCGCACGGGCATCAAGCGCCGGCACATCATGAACGAGGGCGAGAGCGTAGCCCAGCACGCAGCTCAGGCGTGCCAAAGGGCACTGGATATGGCGGGTGTCGCTGCAGAGGACGTGGACATGGTGGTGCTGGCGACGTCGACGCCCGACGACGCTTTTGGCAGCGCATGCCAGGTATGCAGCACCTGGGCTCGCAGCCAATGAGGCAGCAATCAACGATGAAAGCTGTGGCACCATTTGATGCATGCGCCCCGGGCGGCGTAGCATGCGCACCATTTCGTATACGGTGACAGCAGGCCTGTGGATTGATCAACATCGCGGCGGTCGTCACGCCGGACTGCTAACCCCAAGCGCATGCATGCCCACCTGGGACCCGCACGCCGCTGTGGCCACCAAACGCACGTCATTAGGGGAGGACTTGACGTGGCACATCAGCAGCTCTCCGCCACAGCTCGCGCCCGCGTCACCACCTGCCCTGCGCCCACCCTCTCTTGCCACTTGGCATGCCCATGCGCGACAGGTCCAGGCAGCCATCGGCGCCAAGAACGCGGTGGCCTTCGACCTGACCGCCGCCTGCAGCGGCTTCGTGCTGGCCCTTGTCACTGCGGCGCAGTTTGTCAACACCGGCGTCCGCAGGAACGTCCTGGTGGTCGGCGGGGACGCCATGAGCCGCATCGTGGACTGGCGGGACAGGGGTGCGTGTTTTGGGGGGGTCCGGGGAGGGGGTATATGGGTGGAGGGCTGACATGTGATGGCCGGAAACTGACTGGATGTGAACACAGGGCTTGCGGGCGGCCCGCTAAGGGGTGGTGGGGGTTGCCAAGAGGCAGTAGCATCAGTGGCAGCCACCGCGTAGCGCAGCTCAGCCGCAGCAGAGCAACTGGAAAGCAGCAATCTGACAGCAACAACCAGTCATACAAAGCCAGTGCGGCAGTCAGGTCCCGTTTCAATGGAAAAACGCGCTGCGTCTCTCACCGCTGCGCCCAGGCACGTGCATCCTGTTTGGCGACGGCTGCGGCGCAGTGCTGCTGACTGCCGCGCCAGACGGGCAGCCGTGCGCGCTGCTGGGCGTCGACATGCACAGCGACGGCGGCGGGCAGAAGAGCCTCAACGCGGTGTACAGCGGCGGCAGCGGCAAGCCCATGCAGGAAGGCGACGGCGGCAGCGCGCACGCCAGCTACGGCAACGTGGCGATGGCTGGCTCCGACGTGTTCAAGTTTGCAGTGCGCTCGGTCCCCGCGGTGGGTGGGCTGTGAGCGGTCGGGGCGGGGCACCCGCTGCAGCGCTGGCTGGACTGCCCAGCGGCTGCAGATGCTGCTCGGCTGGGAGTACTCGCCACCCAGATGCGACCCGCTGCTAGGCCCGCAGCAGGCGGCGGCTTTTTCCGCGGGGCGCCAGAATGCGTGTCGTGCAGCTCAGCTGCAACACAGGCATGCTGCCATCAATGCTGCTGCAGACGCTGTCACTAAGCAGCCTTGCGGCCGTGGCTGATCAGTGTGCCCTTCCAGGACAGCAACCTCAACCGCGTCGCCCTCGCACTTGCGCTCAACTCCATGGCCTCTCCAGGTGCTGGAGGCCGCCCTCCAAAAAGCGGGGCTGCAGCCGTCAGAAGTTGACTGGCTGGTAGGTTTCTTATGGGGCGCGCAGCAGCGATGTGCTGATGTGGCGTGCCCCCTGATGGCCGGCCTGCTGCATGGCACCGTTTGGCGGGCCGTGGGGCTAGGACCTGCACGCCAGCGCGCTCGCTCGCCTTGCTGTGTTTCCTTTGATCCACCTTGATTGCTCAAATGGCAGCGCTTGTTTCATTGGTTCGTGCTCGCCTGCACACACACACACACACGCACGCACACACACACACACACACACACACATGCACGCACACGCACACAAACGATCCTTCCTGTGAAACACATATGCTCCTTAGCACGCACGCATGTGTTTGCAATCACGCTGACAATTCCTTTGCAATCCTCCCCTCAACACCAGGTGATGCACCAGGCCAACCAGCGCATCATGGACGCCGCGGCGCAGCGGCTCGGCATGGCGCCCGAGCGGGTCGTGTCCAACCTCGCGGACTACGGCAACACCAGCGCCGCCAGCATACCGCTGGCGCTGGACGAGGCCGTCCGCGCGGGGCGCATCAAGGACGGCGACGTGCTGGCACTGGCGGGCTTTGGGGCCGGCCTCACGTGGGCCGGGGCCATCGTGCGCTGGGGCGGCGGCGGCGGCGGCGGCGGCGGCGGCAGCGAGTGAGGGAGCGGCGCAGCTGGGTTTGCAGCGCTGCGCCTTGCGACTGGGATGCTGGCGGGCGGCGGTGGGCGGCGGTCCAAGCCGCGCTCGCGGCTGCAACTAGGCTGGCAGAGAATAGCAATTGTCCGGCTTAGGCGGATAGTGCCGTGCAGACGCCCTGGTTTAGCCTCCACGCGCGGCACACCATTTGAGCGGTTATCCAACCGCTCATGAAGCTGTCAGCAGTGTCGATTTTTGCACGGACGGCCTGTCCTGGTGGAGCATGGGCCTGTTGGCACTCTGCACCCTGGGCTCACCTCAAACCTGCAATTGGCAAGGCAACAGCAGCGGCTTCAACCCCAAATCCTTCACCCCGTGCGCAATCTGCCCCGGTCCTCGGACTTTTTCCCCTGCTCCTTGGACTCCTGGGCATGGCGCCTCTCATTGTCAGTGGCAGTAGCAGGCAGGCGCTGTAACAACTCCAGCCTTGACCATTTGCTGGCCGCCTCCTCAGAGCAGTCGCCCATGTTGCGATAGTGGCAGATATGGTGCAGCACAGGGCAGGGAAGCCCAAACTTTCACTGCACTGAAAAGTAGGAGGATTTACAACTGGAGGCCCACAGCATTCTCTGAACAGCGCTTCAAAAGTTGTCATCCACAGCCAAGCAGGGCGATGGGCAGATTCCGCAGTATTCCACATTGTTGGCCAGGAAGGACGGCGCAGGGGCGATGCAACCCAAGGAAGACCCTATCAAAGCGAGTGGAGGTGATTTTGTGGCACCCAGTAGCACAACCATCCGCACAAATGTTTTGTTTGTGCACAGAGCGTCCCCCAGGGCTGGCCCTGGGATCAAAGGGGGTGCAGCTGGTGGTGACTCAACGGAGGGATACAACTTCAGCAAACAGAGGCAGGCGGTAGCACATGGTGTGTGTGTGCGTGTGTGAGCCAGGGGCGCTCAACAGGTTGAAGGGGCCTCCCTGCAGCGAAACGCTGCTTGGGCTTGTACAGAGGTTTGATGCACCGCATGTGTGGCTACAGCTTCGAAGGCTATCAAGCTCAGTTCAGCGCAGTCGTGCGTTGTTTGGTTGGGGCCGTACTGGTCGGCGCGAGCACAAGAGTCGCACGATAGCAAGCTGCGCTCGCGTGCGCGCGGATGTAGCTGGCGCGGCGCAAGGGGGCGAGGGCCCTACAGGCCTCAGCTGGCAGCTTGCCGCACACCCAAATCGACTCAAGATGCGGGGCGTGCGAGCACACACGTACGCCAGAGAGCGCGCGCCACACGCCCCATGCCGCCGCCCCGCCAGGGTAAGCCGGCGTGCTACGCACGGTGGTGCGCGAAGCAGAAGCGGCCAATGTCAAACAGGTTCTCGTCCTGCATGATCTGGGTGGCGCTTTCAGGGTCCAGAAACGCGCCCATCCAGGGCACCAGCTCCGTCGCAATAATCGCGCCCATCGCGGTGAGCCCCATTACAGCGCTGACCACCAAGAGGATGTGGCTGGGCAGTGACAAGCGGCGGAACAGCGCCATCCCCAGCGGCGCGACGACTAAGTTGATGAGCCCGTAAGCGAGCGCGTACGTGACGCGCAGGTTGCCGGCGATTATGTAAGCTATGAAGCTGCCGAACGTGAACGTCATAACGAGGTAGCGCGACGTGGCGGCGACGATGTGCGGCTTGATGCGAAGGCCGAGGAGGAGCCAAGACAGGGCGGGGCCGCCGGGGAAGCCGAGGGCGCACCTGAAAGCGGAGGGGGTCGTCGGGGCGGAGGGGTGTTAGGGTGTGGGCGGGGTACGAGGGACGCGCGGTGCGGCTTGCCATGTGAGCGCTGGCAAGGATGCCGAAGAGGCCCTTTGTGCGGGGCAGCAGCAGGAGATTCCTCCTTTGAAGGGCCAGCCCCCACTCTGCACCAGATGCAGCACGCAAAATTGCGACCCCCTCTCCCCGCGTACCCGATGCACACGCCTTCCCTTCAATCCTCTGCCCAGCGCCGCAAACCCCGCCCATGTGCTCACCCCAACACCGCCAGCGGGAAGGCCGCCAGCTCGGTCCCGATGACTCGCCACATGCTCCACCTGGAAAACCCGTCCTGGCTGACGCAGGCATGGTCACACTTTATGGCGTCCTCAAACGCCCCCACCCTGAATGGCGAGTGCGCCCTGAACCACCGCCCGGCCTTCACAAGCGGGTTGCGCGTCGGCGGCGGCGCCGGCCTGCGCGCGCCCGCGGCAAGGAACGCAGCATCTGCGGAGCTGACGCCGACGCCAGCAGCGGCTTTTGCGGCGCCGCCCTTGTGGTGTAGATGATGGAGCTGCCCGGCGGCCCTGTCGCCGCCGGCCGCGGCCGCCGCGTCGTCATCGGCGGCGAGCGCCTGCCGGGAAGCTTCCCGTCCGGCGTCGGCGTCGGCGTCGGCGATCGCGTAGACCGCTTCTGGGTCTTTGGCGGCCTCCTCGGCCGCGTGCTGGTGCCGGATCACCGCCTGCGCGTCCAGCCAGCGGGGGCCGCGCCACAGGCGCTTGCGGCAGAAAGAGGCGGCCATGGACATAAGCAGGATGGTGACACACCCGGCGATGACGAACAGCATGAACCAGAAGCGCTTGGTGCAGGGCTTGGCCTGCGCGTGGCGCAGGAACTCTGGGGTGGAGCGAGGAAGCGCGGCCCAAGGGGAGGAGTGGGATGAGAGACCACAGGGGCGCAGGAGGTACACGGGCGTGCGTGAGACGCTGCCAGCGGGCATCTCGGGTGCGCCGAGGGCTCGCAGCATGCCCTCTGTGAGTCGAGGCGCGCAACGGCGCCCGGCGGCCGGCGCGAGCGCGCGCCTCGCACCGAGGGCGGCCCCACGCGGCGCTGCTGACCTGTAAAGAGGTGCAGGATGACGATTTTGAACACGAGCGACAGCTCAAAACCAGGTTGCATGCCCCACCACCGCCGCAGGCGCCCAAGCCTGCCGGCCGGCAGCGGCGGCGGCGCGACCGGCACGCCGCCTGTGTTGGTCCACACCCCCGCGCCGCGGCGCCCGCAGCAGCCGCCGCTGCCGCCGGAGTGGCCGCCGGCCTCACTGGGCGCCCAGTCGCCGGCCATGCTGTGCGTGCTGGCGCCACGGCACGCGCGGTCGGCGACCTCCGCTGAGTCAGCGTGCTGCGGCTCGCGGCTGAGCCCGTGGCCCCGCCCGAATATGGTATCCACGTCAGTCTTTGCCAGCCTCGCGATCTCGTGATGCGTCGGAAAGTGAAACGCGGGGAACAGCAGCGCGAGCGCCTCGATCTGCGTGGCGCGCCTGTGCAGCTTGCGCACGCGCGCCCGCAGCTGCTCCAGCGCCTCGCGCCGCCCCTGAACAGACGCGTCGCCCTCGGCCTTCGCGCCCGCGCGCTGCTCGGCCCCGACGGCGCCGCCGGCGCCGCAGCAGAGCGCCTGCCGCAAGCCACCGCTGCCGCCTGCGCCAGGCCCGCCGCTTTCACCAGCGGCGGCGGCACCGCCGTTGGCAACGGCGGCATCACCGTCGTCGCACGTGTCGCAGCCGCCCTGCACGCCCAGCAGGAACGGGTCGCCGCTTGCCACCATCGCCAGCGCCTGCGCCTCGGCCTTAATCGTCTCGGCCAGCCGCAGGATCTCCCGCTTGGCGCCGACCATAAGCGCGATCGAGATCAGCAGCTCAATGTTCGAGATCGCGATCTGGATGACGACTCCCAGAGAGAGCAGCCACCAGGGCAGCGCCGCGTTGACAATAACGCCTGAGGGGGCCGGTGGGGACGGCGGCGCGGGGTCAGGGGGTGCGTGTTGAGGACACTTGCTCGTGTGTGCACGGCTCGCCGGCCGCCGGCTGAGCGGCAGGGGAGCCGGCGGCAGCGGGGTAGCTGCGCGTTGGCAAGCCCGCTCGGCGCAAACAGGCGAAACGCTGCCCCGCCAGCGAGGCAGCCACGGCCTAGTCACAGTGAAGCACTAAACCAAAAGCGCACCGAATGATATGCCGTAGTACATGCAGGGCAGGATGAGCACCGCCGAGGGGTAGTCAACCGCCGCCATCGGCCCCCGCTCCGTCGAAACCGCCTCGCGCGTCGCGGCCAGGCCGGGGCCGAGGGTCCCAAGGAATGTGGTGAACGCGGTCAGAGCGATCGCCTCCCGCAGGGCTGCGGCGCGGCGCGGCGCGGAGTGGGGCCGGGGTGAAAACGGGGCCGGCATGGGGGTTGATCCAAGGCTTGCGTGGCAGGTCGGAGATTTGTGATGCGTGGCGCCGCCTGGGAAAGTTGTGTGCAGGAACACGTGGCATCCAGGCAAGCCAGCTGGCCGCGACGGCCGGCTTGGCTCGCCGAGCCCTAGGAACAGCTGCGCAGCCAGCACGTGGCAGCTGGGGAGGCAGCTGCCCCTGCGGTCCGCGGGCCGTGCGGTGGCAGTGCACGCCGCGAGGCGGTCGCTCACGAAATTGGAGCAGCGACGCGAAAAGGACCAGGTACAGGCCGGCGCCGCACTCCCGGTCAATGGAGGATGTCAGCGATATCTGAGGGGC